CACTTATAATAATTTTACGTACGTATGCGCCAGCAATCATTTGCTTAATTTTATTTCACAAAATTATGTAATAATTTTTAGAATTTTCTTTGATAAACAACTTAATTGTGGGACTATGAAAGTCTTACAAGTACATAAGTACATACGTACGTATGTATATACTTATATATCTCGATTTTTTTTGTGATTGATATGAAAGATTGTCGATTTTTAATTTCGGATTTGACATAAAAATTAAAGACTACAAATTTTTTTACTTTTTTCACACAATCATGGGAAAAGAAAAAGACAATAATTCAATATTTGTACCGTATATGACCAAATAAGACTACTGTCGTATCATGCTGGTGTTCTTTAGCTACTTAACTACTTTAGTCTGAAATCCGGGAATAACAAGACTTAGCCTCTTAACCATTATTTCTCCAACCAATTAATTTTAGCACACGTGTTAAACACTCAGCCTCATTAACTCCGCGTTATCAGATGAGGACGCGAAAATAAGAGTTGCACTTACCAAATAAAATAAGGTTTTTTTTAATATTTTCTCAAAGATCAGTAATGAGATAAAAATGATACACCATGATTGTAAAATCGGGATATACAACTTTACTGGTTAAAACCTAACCAAATTAAATCATCCAACCAACACTGAGAAACTTTTAATTTCGCACGGTCGAATTTGTCATCGCATTACAATGATAAATTTAGTAAATAATTTAGTTTCTCAGGAAAACGAATTAATTCTTTGTACATATAGATTCCATGAACTTTCTCATATAACAAATTTTATCTTAATTATTCGGTGAATTGGCTTAGACTCGCGTTATTAGAAAAAATTTGTGAATGATATGATTGTTGTCAATCAATCACGTATTTGAATATGTTGCTGCAATGTTGAATGGTTCGAACTGTACGTACGTACCGGCACGTACCGAGCATAAGCCACAATGAACACAAACATGAAGAGATTGTCACTTTGCAATTTCACAAAGATAATACAGTGGAGGTAGTAGAAACCAAATAGTGATTTTCGAAAATTTTGCAATTAAAATATGGGTAATTCTATTTTGACCGATCAAAATGACCCTCAGCAAAATTTTAGGCTTAGTGCGGGCCAGAATTATGTTAATGCCGCCCGGTTGTTTTAATATAAAAACCCGGCCGGCATTAACATAATTCTGACCCGCACTAACCCTAAATTCTAGGAGGTGTCATTTTACCAGGGTCAAAATAGAATTTTAGAAAATTTTTGATTTGTGGATTATTTTAAGTATATTTATTTTGTAAAGCTTATTAATTCTATAAAATAAAAAAGTTTTAGTTGGTTTATTAGCAAAAAAAATTTTTTTAGTTATAAAATCTGTATATATAATCTTGAAATATTATTTTTTAGTAAATTTATATTATTTTAAAAGTAATTTTTTTTGATAATATATTTAAAATAAAAATTTTTTTCTTTATTGGTAGCCTTATCAATATTTTTGTTAGATCCAAGCATATATACAAAATACAGTATATTTAACTATCTAAACTGTAAATCTGACATCATTCAGCTATTTTAGTGGGTGTTTAAATGCGGTTTGCCTTACCAGTTAAGGCTATTATTGTCTGTACCAGAAGGCTGCACCAAGCTAACTAGTAAAATTATAATAAAATAACCTTATTTTAAAGAAATTTTTAATTATATTTAGTTGCTAACTACCTTCTTTAAATTTATTCACCTCTTTATAGTAATAATTTATCTCTAATTCTATTTTATTATTTAATTTAGCTATGTTTTCTACTTTAATATTATAGCTATATTCAGTTCATTTGTATTTAAGCTTTTTTTTTCAGTTCATTTTATTTTTACTAATAAGTGATCTGGTTTTTAAAGTTTTCTTTTGTTCTTCTTTTTATATTTCTCTTTTTGTTTTAAAGCTTTGTATTTTTTTTTTCAAAAAGTTTATTTTGTAGGTCTTCTTTGGAAACATTCTTCTATAGATCTTCTCTTTTTCTATTTTCTTAGTATTATTCTAAATTTTTCTGTTTATAGATCTTGGTTTTCTAATTATTGTAAATCTTCTTTTTTTTTTTTTAAAACTAAGTGTTTTTTTTTTTCTTTTTTTATAAAATTTTTTTCTAAGAAACTTCTCTTAAATTCCAATATACTCTTCTCAATTTCCAAATACTTCTACTAAAATTCTTTTTATTATTTCAAATATAATATTTTTTCTAATTCTTGACTCTTGTTACTTTTTCAAATATTTTATAAAATAGATAAGCAATATAAGAAATAAACTTTGCTAATGATTAGTAATCATTAATTTTTTAATAGCAAAGTTACAGAATTTGCAAGTTTGTCTATCTATTTTATAAAACATCTGTTTTTTCTGCTATTATATTTTGTACAAGATTTTTTTATTTATATCAATATCTGTTTGGTATTTAGTTTATTTAATTATTTAGCTAGTAATTTTTTTCTTTTTTTTTAGTTTTTAATATTATTTTGTATATTTTTTTATTTATTTAATATACAGTATAATTTCTATTATTTATTCAAATATATTTCTTTATAGATTTTTAATTTGTATATTATTGAAGCTTTCATCTTTTATCAAAAAATTTTTTTTTTGGTTTTAAGATGATCTCTTGGTCACTGTCCTTTTATTTGATTATTGTTAACTTTTACAGTATGGGACCCCATACTATACACATATTTAAAAAGTACAACTAGCTATATGTGCAACTTTTGATTGCCTATTTAAATAAACACCCGAAGGTTCTACACTAGCTGCTGTACCTATAACTTTACTGAATTACCTATTTAAACCCTCTGCATCTATGTACATTAATCTTCTAACCAAGCGAGAATACATTAGTATCCTTTATTTTCAGATTCCCAACTTAGGACTTTAAGACAGACCACCTATAGGGGTTCTTTGTCCTCGAGATAAATCTGCTAAAGCCTTCTATACCCATATTTAGGCTGACCTAGGCTTCAGTAACTTATGCTGAGTCCGAGAACAAGTACTTGCAAGCCGAAGCCGCTACTATTATCTACTTCTGCCCTCATAGAATTTACTCTACCCTAGCCCTTACTCATCCAATCAAGAACTCTTTCACTGTTTTACCAAACTTTCAATTCAGATAGTCTGGTTTGGTCTACAAGTTACGTTATCTGCTTTCTTACTGGCTTAACCCAGATACTGGCCTGTATCCTTTTCCTTTAGTTGATTCTGGCGGCCTGGCTAGTATAGTGCTCACCAAACATTTGGTCCTCGTCCAGATCCACAGCTTATTAATTTTCTTCTCAGACTTTCCAGAGCCGTCGAAAGTAGTGCTACCTCTCTACTCGAGACTTGCCAAGCAGATTCCTATTCAGGACAAAGTCCAACAGATTTACACAAATCCTGGGGACTTATCGTGGATTTACACCGCCTTTTATCAGTTTGTATCTCTTTGTGTAATCTTCTATTATACAAATGCCCTAAAATCTTCCAAGTCTGTACTATTACTCTGATTAGAGCTTGCGAGATAAGCTGTCTGTTAGGCGATCATTACCCCTTGCACCTATTTGGTCTGACTATCATTACAAAATCTACATCTCAATACTTAAATAGTTATTAATGCACAGAAGAATTTGATTTTTCGTCATTGGTGGAAATTGAACTTTGGATATATCACTTGGGAGGCAACAATTTGACCACTTCACTAAGTCACTACACCCCTCTTTTACCAAAATTGTTTTGATTCTTTTATTATTTTGTTTAAGATTTTTATTTTTATAAAACCTTTGATATTTTTTTTTATAATTTTTTATTTAAATGTTTCTTCTTTTTTTATTTTTTAACTGTTTTTGTTCTATGCTTTTGCATTTTGTTAAACTTGCATCATTTTTTTTTCTTTGAATTTTTTTTATATATGATTTTATTACAAATATTTTAATAGATCTTTTAAAATACTAAATTAAAATTTGTAATACTGTTTTATTATATTGCCTTTGTATTATTTTCTCTATTTATCTAGTTTTTTTTATTATTCAAATTTTAATTTAGATTTTATATACTTAGCAGCTTGTCTTTTTTTTTTTTTTAGTATTAAAATAAGATCATGCTTTATATATCTTTATTAAATTATAAATTTGTATACTACTATATAACCTGATTGCTTATTTATATATCTACTAGGTGATTAATTTCAAAAGATTAGATTCAGACTACTTTATTTATAACCTAAACCTCATCAGCAAAATTTTAAAGGTGCTATATATCGATAGTAATTCCCTAGATTACAATCAATATACAACCCTCTACCGATTATTATCGTTCGTAATTACTAATGATATATAACAAAAAAGTTGTTAAATTTTTTAAACTTTAACATTAATTTTCTCGATATTTATTAATCTAAATCGGCTTAAATTTTTACTATATATAGTATATATATTCAACTATAATATAGTAAAATTTCAGTCAATTTGAATTAGTAGTTCTTGAGAAATCATTTATTAATGATAGTTGTTTTTTTTAAAAAATTAACTATCGTTAACAAATGATTTCTCAAGAACTACTAATTCAAATTGGCTGAAATTTTACTATATTATAGTTGAATATATATACTATATGTGATAAAAGTTTAAGCTGATTTGAATTGATAGTTATTGAGAAAATTAATGTTAAAGTTTAAAAAAATTAGACGAATTTTATAAAATCATTATTAATTGATAGTGATTATAGTCATTATATATCAATAATCGTTATTTATCATTAGTGATATTTATCGATATATAGCAGTTAATTATTATATATCAATAATTTTTAATTGATATATATCGATAACTGCTATATATCGATATATATCTGCTTAAAAATTTTGCTAATGCTATTAGAACCTTTTATATCTGATTTATATTTTTATATACTACTTCTATCAATCAATTTTTTATCTATAACATCAAGAAGTTTTGAAAGTATTATTTTATGCTAATCTATGCATTAATTAACACAAGTAGTTAAATAATGAGTTTAATTTACATTAAACAATGCTATATATTCTATTATTTAATACTTACTGTTAGTTAATTTATAAATGCTGCATTAAACAACTATATGTATTCTATTGTTTAACAATTACTGTTAAATAACTAATAAACACTATATTAATACACTGTTTAACAATATAGTTTTTTTTAACTATTGCGAACTATTTAGAAAATTTATTAACTTTACAAATTGTTTATTATATAATTTTTTTTGATATAAAAAATAATTTGCAAAGCACTATTATAAACAAAAAAAAAATACAGAGTTGCGAAGTTTGTAAATGTACATCTTATTATAGCTAAAAAATCAATACTTATTTGAGTATCACCAAAAAAAAACATATATATTTAAAAATAGATTACTTATAAATTTCATAAGTGATATATTTTTAAATATGCAGGTTTTCTTTTGGTGATACTCATTTAGAACACCATTTAACACAATAAAATTCGGCAAACAATCTAAATGTTGAAAATGCAGAAAGATTTTTAAGCGTTAAAAAAATTGAAACTCCAAACTGCAAAAAAAAACAAGATAAACGAAAAACTAATGATGATATAGTAAATACATGTAAACAGCTTATCAAGCAGCAAAATGAATACAGTTATGAACAACAAAGATCTATTCTTTCTGTACATAAAAATGCTTCACAAAGTATTGATATTGTTAAGAAAGTTGTTGCAATTCGAAGTTCTTGTATTTTTGGTACCAAAGTTTTCAACTAAAAATTCTTAGAACTAATTTACAAAGGAAGGTTTTAAGAAAAGTTAATTAGTAAAAAAAAACAAATAAAAACAGTAAAAGAAAAAACAAATCTTACTTCCCTGGAATTTAGACCTGTTTAATAAAAAAACCATCGTCAGAATTTCTTGTAACGCAAAAATCATCATAAGCTACTCCAAAAAAAAAACATTTAACAGAAACTAAACTGCTAGCAAGATATGCAACTCGCCAATCTGAACAAGTACTAAAGCCTCAATTATACTGAACGTAGAAAACATAGAGCAGATTTTAATGAAACTAAAATTACAGATTTATTGATCGCTAATCTTGTATATGATTGGTCGATCATATATACAGGTATATAATTAAAACAAAAGAAATTCTATTTTGACCCGGGTCAAATAATCTTCAGAAAAATTTTAGAGTTAGTACGGGCCAGAATTATATTAATGCTGGCTAGATTTTTATCTTAAAAAAACCCTGACCGGCATCAATATAATTTTGGCCCGCACTAACTCTAAAATTTTTCTGAAGATTATTTTGACCCGAGTCAAAATAGAATTTCTCTTAAAAAAATTTATGTATCTAATTTGCCTAACAAGTATCTAAAATTTTTGCTTCTATAAAAATATCTATGCTTCTTAATACCATTATTACAAAAAAAAATAAAAAAATAGATATTAATATTTAGATACTTAAATTCTAATAGTATAGCCAATATTCAAACTTAAATTAGATTTTCATTATTATTAAAATACAGAATAACTTTATCGAATTATAATCAGCAAATAATATATTAATATAAAGTATTTATAAAGTAAAAAGCGAAATATAAAAAGAATAAAAAGTAGTAAAAATATTAAGTTTGTATTATAAACAATCAATAAATATAGTGTTAGACTCTTTAGTATAAAACTAAATAAATTTGTGCTAGCATCTATTATTAAAACATATATATATTAACAAAATATTTATTTTGTTTTGCTGCATATTTTATTATATGTACTAATTCAATAATAGATTCTACAGAAACAAAATCAAATATGCCTGAAAGTTTCAATAGTAAACAATCATATTTGTATAAACGGTTGTTGTTCTTAAAGCGAAAATCATACTATTATACAAGGGCAAGGTCAAATTGCGTCGAATAATTTTCAATAGTAATAGTAACCAACATATGAACCTAAAATGATACTGTAATATTTATTATAACATTATGCAATATTTACGGCAATCAGGTACTGTGCTATAATTAATTCTGGTAAAATGCTGTAATGCTTTAATTCAGTAATTCTACCACCAACTATAGGTAAAAAAATTATTTTACAATACTAGATCATTCCGTTAGTACATATTATGATTACAATCCAACACCATTTTATTATCATAAAAATGGTGTTGGATTATAATTATAACATATACTAGCGGAATGATCTGGTATTGTAAAATAATTTTTTTATATGCTGCACACTGGGTGAAGAATCAGTAGTGTAATATCAATGTTCTTTCCTGTAGTTGGAATTCACACCTAATTAGCTCATATTTATGTTCGAGACAGCATTGATATTTATGTATCGAGTATTATATATTGTATTGCACATCTTAGGCTTCTAAAATGAACGATTTGTAAAATCATATGTAAGATATAAGAGAATAACAAAAGAGTGATTCATACAATATACATACTGTATATAAATAATATCAAAATTATAAAAGTGCAATCCCTTGATTTTCTAAAATTCACCATTTTTTGGTTTAATAAATTTTAACTAAAAATAAAACAAGCACCTAAAGTATTTAAAAAACAAAATTTAAAATACCTAAAACAACCTGTAACAAGTAAACAAATATCAAAAAAAAATACCTTTGGGAGATCAGAAAAGAATCAACCTATTAAGAGAGTTGAACTTTTCAATATGAGAAATAGGAAAGTCATTTGATGTTGGTTCTTCTGCAAATCTAAAACTTGTAAGAGAAAAAGGAAACAGAAGAGATTAAAGATCGAAAAAGATCTAAATATCCACGATTCCTAACACCCAATGATGAAAAAAAAATAATTGATATATTGTCTTCAGAAAAAGGCTCAATAGCAGTTTAGATCTATTCAAAGTATGTAGCTGAAACAGGCAAACATATTTCAGTAGAAACTATACAAAATACATTAAAAAGGTATGGCTACAAAGCCAAGGTTAAACCTAAAAAACCTGCAATAAGTGAAAATACCAGATTAAAACATCTTGTATTTGCCAAAAAGCATCTTAAATGGACTGTGGATGATTGGAGAAAAGTTGTTTTTTTTAATGAGAGTAAATTCGTACTTTTTAGATCTAATTTTCATAAATTTTGCTGAAGAAAAAAGAGAGATAAATTAGAACCTGATTATGTTAGTCAGACCAAAAAATTTGAAGGTGGAGGTATAATGGTTTGGAGCTATATAATCTCGCATGGTGTTGGTGAGATATGTTACATCGAAACTCATCTAGATAACAAAGGTTATCGTATAATTCTGGCTAAAGATCTTTTTGGCACCTTACTTGAACATGATTTAGATTTTAAAGATGTTATTTTACAGCATGATGGAGACCCAAAGCACAGAGCAACTGATATGAATAACTGGATCAATTAAAGAAATATTAATACTCTTAAATAGTCTCCATATTCTGCTGACTTAAACCCAATAGAAAATGCTTGAAGTGAAGTAAAAAGATGTCTAGAAGAGTATCTAAAAGAGCAAAAGCAAGAAATAGCCACAAAAAAAGAAAAGCTAAATAAATTGTAAAAAATAGTAGAAGAAGAATAGAAAAAAATCAATATTAATTATATTATCAGTCTCTATAATTCTATACCCTGAAGAATGGCTGCTGTGATTGCAAATGATAGTCTTTACATGAATTTCTAATGTATATACATATGTACATATGTAGAAAATAGTTATACAAAGGTTAGATGCTTGTCACCAACTACCTCAGCATTAGAGTGTTCAGAATTATGCCAAATTATATATACGGCAAACTGTAAATTATACAAATTATACAAGTTTTTAGCTTAAAATATGCAGCATATTATACGCTATACCACAAATTAAAATATGCAACAACTGCGCAAATACTCAAATATTTAAATAAGATATTAAAATTTTTAAAATATCTATTTAGGTTTTTTATCTTGTATATTAATATAGTAAGTGCTTAGAACTGGTTTTATTTTTCATATGCTAACTGATCAAGCTAGTTCTAACTAGTGAAAAATACATCGGCTTCAAACCTTTGGTCACAAACTAGTATACTCATATTATGCAAATTATTATGTAAAATGGCTCAAATTATGCAACTTTATATAATGCATAATACGTATGTAGTGCAGTCGAAAAATGTGTATCAGGTTGGTGATGTAGTTCTTCTGATCTACAAATTAGTATTCAAGATTAGGTGTAATATAATACAATAAAACAACCGTTCGTTCTGCCAAAAATTGCTTATAACTCAAAAATCAGCATAAGAAACCACTTTTTGTGCTCTAACAAAAAGTTTTTGTTGGACAATTTTACTATTAAAACTACTATCCTCTAGTTCTTAACCCTGACCCTAATCTTAACGAATTTTAAGAATTTTGTCTGCGCTACTAATCTGATACACATTTTTCAATTGCGTATATAATACAAGTCAAAAATTATGCATATTATACACATCATAATCCTAGACACGATAAATTTACCTTATATACATTAGTTCTTTTTTTTTGAATATTAATAGTGATTATATACATAGTTCTATCTGCAAATTATATAAGTGGATTGGCTAAAAAAATTTTTAGCCATCAAATCACATGATTTAGATTGCACAAACTTTGTTATTCAAAATAACTAAAGGTAAATTTATCAAATAGCTTAGATAATTTACCAAAAAAATTAAAAATTAAGGTAATTTAACAACCTGGCTGAGATAGTTGATTGTCATCTGCTAATCAACCAATCAAAATCTTAAATCTTTTAAAGAAAATCGAAACGAGGAAATTTAATTGAAATTTATAATATAAATAATCAAAATAAATAATATTACAATTAGACAAATATGTCTTTATTAATTTAGATTATTTTTAACTATATTATAAAATAACAATTGTCATTATTTACGATTCTATATTCGGCTCTATATATTCGATTCTATATCTAATAAATCTAACTATTTACAATTATTTTATCAAAAAGAACTTCAAATCTTATAATATTGCTTTACGCATCATATTATATATGCATATACATAAGTCTACCACATTCTAAAAACTTTTGCAATAAGAAAAAAAATAACAAAATTAATAATTATAATACAGTAATTGTCACAGATCATAATAAAATCAGATTAAAATGAAATGTGGTTTCTAATTTTGATATGAAAATTTAAAAATTTTTGTGGTATTTTTTTTTTACTACTTTTTTTTTTAGAGTCAGATTAGAATTTAAAGTTAGAATTGATAATTAAAAAGCATATATAAATTTTAGCAAGGCTCATATTTTAAAATTGAAATCCTAAATTTTAGCATCAGCTACGACAATTAATATCACCATAATTGTCTTGAGTATAACCTTATTCCTATATTTCATAGACAGAATTCCTAAAAATTCTATATACTCAAATAAAATAATCCATAAAAGATGATAAAATAATTAATAATGTCCCATTAAATGAATCAGAGAACAATATTATTAATAAAATCATCTATGACTCTAACATACCGAAATGTGATACTTCAAACCTTATCGCTGTGCAATTTAAATTTCTGTTAAGATTAGAACAAAAATATCTAAAAAGTAAAGAGAAAATTATTAATAAAGCTCTTAATAAAATGCAGGACAATAACAGAGTTAATAAACAAAATACTTTCAACACTATAATGAAGTCAACCCTTATCTTCAAAGTTATCATCCGGAATTAGAATCAGAATACTAGAATAGCTAGACAAAGTTATTGCAATAGTTAGTAAAGTCTTAAAATAAAACAACAGTGAAAATAAAGAAAAGAAGAATACTTATCATGTATTAAACGTTCTTTCTAAAAAATTAGCTGCAATAAAATCCTCTAATGTAGAAATGATAATCAAATCTAAAAAGAGTGATGAAATATAGAAAAAAAAACTTTAGTTAATAAAATATAAGTGGAGAAAAAAAATAACAGCTATAAAGAATAGACTAATAAACAACATACTTATCTTGTTCAACCAAATCATCATTGAGATATCGATTAAAGCTAAATGACTTTCTTGACGAATTCTCTTCATTGATGAAAATATTGATATTATAAAACTAAATATATACATACAATATATAATAAATTAGCTCTGACAAACTCAAACTAAAGAGACTCTGGCCAGTTTAATATATACGGTCACAATAGTATCATTACTTACACTTGATGCTATAATAAGTGTACTCTAGATACTACTTACCAAGAAATGATTTTAATCAATAAATTCACTCTATTGATAAAAACATTGATAAAACTAAATAATATATAATAAATTAGCCTGGCGAACTCAAACTAAAGAGACTCTAGCCAGTATAACATATACGGTTGCAATAGTATCATTGCTCATATTTGACGCTGTAATAAGTGTATACTAAATACTACTTACCAAGAAACGATTTCGACTAATAATAATAAATAGAAAAAAAATTAGTATATTTAACTAAATTATTTTACCTTATATAACCTATATATAACTCTCTGACAATGTTATGAAATAAATTGACCTATTACCATTGCTTACATACGATGTTATAATAGGTTTACTCTAAATACAGTACTATTTATCAAAGAAACGATTTTGATTAATAATAGTAAATAGGAAAAAATTAATACATCAAGCTAAATTATAATTTACTGTTATTAAATATAGTAGGTGTTTGGTTTGTTTAAATATTTTTAATCACGTTATATTATAATATCTGCTATGATCGTATTATATTACAATATCAGATATATTGATATATATACTATTTTACTTATTTGCACAGGTGATACAAACCAAAAAAAGGAAGGATAACATTATTATTCGAACAATAGTAATTTGGGCTGACACATGCCGCTTCTTGGCCCGTTATTCAAAAATTTTTGCCGATACTTATCTAATACTTATTTTTCTGACATTTTGTATATACATGTTTGGATTTGTTTTGATTTACTGATTTATGAATACTCTAATAGGTAATGCTATGTAGCAGACTTTTATCTGATTGGCTTATATAAATAAATTGCCTGTAAAAGCTTAGCTAAATCTGATACGTAATATAAATATTAAAGATAATCAATTTTAATATCAATATGCTTCAAATCAATCTAAGTGGCTCCACCGTATGTTCTTTCGAGTGCTCTGCTATATGTTCTAAGTGCTCCACCATATGTTCTTCTGAGTGCTTCACTATATATTCTTCTAAGTGCTCCATCATATTTTCTTTCAAATGTTCTTCCGAATGCTTTATCATATGTTCTTCCAAGTGTCCTGAACATTCCCTTGTAAGTTTTCACGAATGCTCCTCTGTATGTTCTCGTGAATACTTTTCAGTATGTTCCTGCTCCTTTATAAGTTCCTGTGAGTGGTTCTCTGTAAGTTCCTGCGAGTGGTCCTCTGTATGCTCTTGCGAATGATCTCCTATATATTCTTGCAAATGCTTCCCATGTTTCCGCGAATGCTCCCCTGTATGTTCCTGTGAATGCTTTCCAGTATATTCCTGTGAGTGCTCCCCTGTATGTTTCTGCTCTCTTGTATGCTTACGTGAATGCTTCCCTATATGTTTCTGCAAGTGCTTTTCGAGCCTACAAGAATCAGGTATTTATAAGAAAAAGTACAGTATATTATAGGACAATTTTTACTATTAAAACATTACTATAATTCTTAGTATGAGAATGTGAAGTTAAAAAAGATGATCGAAACTAGAGCTAGACGCTCTTACTGAAGGAATGATGTTGTATAATACGTCTTAGGCCACTATTATGGCAAGGTTTGGATATAATAAAGGCCCTTTAAGTCAGAGAACAAAAGTTGGTCTTAAAGATAAAGCAAGAGCAGAATTAGAATATAAAATAAGACATAAATTACCACTTGGTGTATTTAGTAAGGTTAAGTAAGTAGTATATTTGTTTGAATGTTAAATACGTTTTAAATGTTAATTAATTAAGTACATTTTTATTTAGTGTATATAAAAATTTTAAACCTTAAAATTTTGTCTTAAAAAATTTTTTTTTAAATAAAAAACGAGATGACTTTGTGTATTTTTAAAGAAATAGTATGTAATTTTTTGTTTTTACCCAATACGTGTAATGTAAGCTACCAAATTAAATTGGTTAGCATAATAATAATGTAGATTTCTATATAATCTAGATTTTTGATATCTGGAGCAACGTATGTATGTACGTATAATATTAGTGAATCCTGTTTTTTTAGTAAATGATTTAATTGTATGAAATGTAAAAAATGGTTAAGCGAACAATTTAATGATTTTAATCGTTGATATTTCAACCTACAAGGAGCAAAAAAAGCAAATTTTCTTTTAGTAACATTTTTATAGCCATTTATTTAGGTGTATAAAATTACTGCTGAATCAAAACTTACAAATTGGCAAATATTCGGTTGGTCAATTTTGCCAGATTTTCCAGAATTTATGAGAACAGCTGTAATATATTAAACAACCAAGTTAAG